TAATTTAGAATTCACTCTTTGGAGGGAGTCTATTGATTCGAGAGAAATATTAATAGAAACTTAAGCCATCAAGAAAAGGTTACCACTAAGTGACCTAAGTGACCTTAGGACCTAAGTGAGTCGAAATCAATGGTAAATTTTGACACTTATAAATGTTCAATTATCTAATAATGTTACTAATTGTATGTGATAATATATTACGTAATAATATTACGATAACCAAAGTTCATTTTTGTTCAGGACAATATTCCCAAGGTACTTCTATTGCCACTTCTTCGAGGTCTTATCATATATCAGTATTCCTATCGCAAAGTCGTTTAAGATAATACCTTACCTATACCAAGAGAGAAGATCAGGCATAAATTGCGACCTCGTAAAATATGACCGTGAAATGTAACCGTTAACATTCTAAATTCCATATGTTACTTTAATGGCCTTGTCTTCAGTTTTCCCTATCTGGAAAATCGGAGTACTATTCGCAAATGAAATTGTTAATCTATCATGGAAATAAGCATTATATAAGATTGTAGACAAAGTACCTGCATCTAGTTTAGTTAAAATAAACCAATCTTTTGCTTATGGACAATGAATATTTAAGGACCAATCAGTTTTGCGCTTCGATCGGCCGAACCGTTTCTTTGTAAATCGCAGAAAAGTGAAAAAAATTTCGTCCACGTTTTAGCCCGGAATTTTGAATCGATTTTGAAAATTCAAAAACCGTTCGAAAAATTTTGGTTGGGAAACGACTTGATTAGTTTTTGGTAAAGATAGGCCGGGCCGTTTTCTTGTAAAGAAGGGGCCGTTTTCTTGTAATAAAGTGTTAAAAAAATTTTTTTCGACGATTTTTATGATTTTTTTTTTGACTGTAGATACCATAGTCTTAGAGATCATACTAAAATATTACGACCCTACGACAACTCGTTTAACTTTAAAAATTCGTCAAAGTTTGCAAATATTAGTATCTTTTTGGCATTTGTCAAAATTAGACCTTTGATCCACGTTTTCTCAAAAATGCCTGTACCGATTTCAGAAATTTAAAAGCCATTTCATGTATCTCAATAAGGACTATCGTTTGTCAGTTTTGTGCAACGATCTGCCGAACCGTTTCTATGTAATTTATGTATGTACCGAATCGATTAAAAAAAATCAAAATTTGTTCGAATCATATTAATTGGGAAAATCAACTAAGCCGTTTTCTTGTAATTAACTGTTAAAAAAAAATTAAGCCGATTTTTATGGAACATTTTTGGCGATATCATGGTCTTGTAGAACTTACTGAAATATTACGGCCTTACGACTAGTAGTTTAATTTAAAAATTCATCAGAGTTTGAGAAAATGAGTAGTTTTTTTGACGTTTGTCAAAATTAAAATTAGATATCAGAAAGGTTACATACATATACTCGTATGTATATATATATATATATATATATATATATATATATATATATATAGTTCTTGAGATTTTACTGAAGATGCTCTTGAGATATACTTGAAGTACATCAAATTGGCTTATACAATGTATAAGAAATAACAATTTGAACTTCCTTTAAAATACAATATGAGTTCAATTGAAATAAAATTTGTAGCTCGGTAAAGAATTGATTGAAAACATACTATTGTATATAAAAGATTGACTATATCTGGTATACAATATATTGATAAACCAAATTCGGAGCCACTTACGTATATTGTCTGAAAGTCTCCTGGAAGAGTATAAGGAGCGCTATCGCATATAAATCATTGGAAGCGAATATTTGCCATAACACGCAATAATAATGAAGTTTAATATATCATTAACGCCGGAATAGCTGTCTGAAAATTATTTATTATACTATCATGGGACAACGTACTTCTCCTCCTTTCAATGTCATTGAGGAATGAGGTTCGAGAAGGAATTTGTCTTTTGGCTTTCATTGGATTTCAATTACTTGATAGAATGTCAGGGGAGAATATCGCTTTGTAACTAATCGACTATGAATGCATGTCGTGCTATAAATTAGTGATTAGATTGGAGCACATTGGCAAGTCACTTCTAAGAATTCTGCCCCAACATCTTCTTTAGGCGAAACACGTGGACCACATTTACCAATTCAACATAGAAGTCCTAATAGTAACAATAAATAAAATCAATACAATACTTTCACAACTTTTATTTTAAAAACAAAAATATTTTATACTTTATTATCTTCCTCCCATAGGGTAAGTTATTGTAATTGTCCAAAATTCGAAATTGAAAATTTTTAAATTTCTTCACGTTTTGAAGGTTTCTGAACATTTTGGCAAACCTCAGAAATAATAGATGTTTGTGTGTGTATGTAAGTATGGATACAAATTTTTTAAAAATTCTAACTAAAGTTCTAATATACTTTAAACAAATATTTTTTCATCTTTGCAATTCAGTTTATATAATTCTCATAAATATTAGACATTTTTATTTATAATAATCTATTTGAAATCATTCAATATTCCTCGAACATTTCGTTACGGTACGGGAAGTTCCAGCATTTTGCCTTAAGGCACGATGCTATACACACAACTAGATATATATTTTAAATAATACTGTTACTAATAATACTGTTATTATATTTGATCTCATTATAATAGTGATTTTAGGAGCTCATTTCGTTATAGTTCATGCTAAAATTATTTTCACAATATAAATATATATATATATATATATATATATATCTGTGTATTTATTTATAAATACCAGGCGGGTGCATGTACGCATGCAAAACTCAAAATATCATAAAATTTTCATGAACCATTTTACATTGTATTTATGTTTTTGTCTGCAAATTCTATACTCATAATATGTTGATTTATAGTTATTATCCTGTTTTCATTGCTAATTTCAAAGTCTGTTTTGTAAAAATATCCGGTAGTTGAACTTATATTTCAATACTGTTTGTTTTTCTTGTATTTCCTTAGATGTTTTTCTTAAATAATTAACTATTGCTTTTATGGAAATTGTATCAAGAAAACATTCGTTTTAGTTCGTAAAACAAAAAGTTTTAAAAAAGTATGTTTACTGGTGGTAATTAAATATTTGTCGAAATGTAAATAAAAAATCCTGTTTATCCATAAAAGATCTGTTCTTGTAAGCTTGTGATAAAATGTGGAACATAAAAAATATTATGGCGATGATGTTGAGATGTATTGATCTTACAACCTGATTTTAAATCGAATATTAGCGATGTTATTATTGACTTTGAAACATAGAGCAATATGAGATTCGACGTTACATTAAGTGATTGGATTGGATTAGATTGGAAAAATTGATTTGACCACCTTATACACTTCATGAACATGAACACACTAAATAAAATGTTTAACTAGTGGTGCATAGCATAGTACCTTGAAACAAATTACTGGAACTTCCTATGCCAACAACTATATCATTAAAAAAAAACTTTGATAAAACTAGATTTTTGAGAAATCTTGAATTTTTTTAGAAAATTTGACTTTTTTTTAAATTTCGATTTCACTTTATATTTTGATTTATTTAGAAAATTTTTAACATTTTTTTAAGCAATCCCACTCCATGGCTGTTTTGCAGTTGAAATATCAAAGCGCATAAGCACCGCGTAGTCGTCTAACGTGGGAACATTGCTACGGAACCCATATAAATGTACACAAAATTTGTATTTATTATTATAATCTTTATAAAATAACTGATAATACGAGGTACATATGTCCAATGCTTAGTTTTGACCGCCGTTTTCGGGCACACGGATCAACTGATTCAAATGGTTCAAAAAACATTCGATTCCTATTGATAGGGAGATGTGCTGATTAGTTTTGGGCAAAGCAGGTTCAGCAGTTACGGAGATAAAGAGCAAAGAATGCAGAAAATAGAAATCGAGTTTTTGAGAGAACGGAGCATCCGATTTGAATGATCTAAAAAATATTCAATTAGTAATGATTGGGAGAAGTGTTTATTAGTTTTTGGCAAAGGCAGCCATTTCGAAGATACGGAGCTAAATGTGCAAAAAATGGCTGTTTTTGAGAGAACTAAGCGCCTGATTTAAATGATTCAAAAAACTTTCTGCTTATCTTAACAAAATAATTGTTTTTGGAAAAAAATTTTTTTGTTTCAACTTTTTTTTTCAATTTTTTTTCCAAAAAAAATTGTTTGTATATCGAAAATAATTCAGATTTTATTTTCAATTCTGACTATAGTTCTAATATACTAAACAAGTAATTTCAACTTTGCAATTTAGTTTATATTATTCTTATAAATATTAGACAATTTTACAATATTTATAATAATCTATTTGAAAACATTCAGTATTCGTCGAACATTTCGTTACGATACGGGAAGTTCCAGCAATTTACCTTAAGGCACGATGCCATACACCCTATTAGTTCACTTTTTTATTGAATCTCTGGAGACGCTGCCTTTACAAAAATTTTACCACTCGTTCATTTTGTCAATACAAGCAAAATGATTTTTGAATTATTTAAATAGAATACTCCGTTATCTCAAAAACTGAAAAACCATTTGGCACTTTTTGCCCCATATCTTAGTAACGGCTAGACCTGATTATGCCAAAAACTAATCAGCACGTCTCCTTATCAGCAGGGATCGAATGTTTTTTGAATTATTGAAATCGGTTAATCCGTGCTCGCGAAATCGTCGTCGAAAATTTATATCCGCACACACACACGCATACATCAATTTTTTCTAAGGTATGCCATAATGTTCAGAAACCTCTAAAACGTAAAGATATATAAAAATTTTCATTTTCGATTTTTTGCGATTACTATAACTTACCCTACGGGAAGTTAAAAATAATTAATAACAACCGAAACTAAAATTTACCTATTTGACCTACTGATCTAAATAGAATACATATAACAGTTTATGAAACTTTTCATATTAATTATATTATACGGAAGTTTTATTAAATTATGTTATACGAAAGTTTTATTGCTTTTATATATTGTTACCAGATATTTGGTCACTTAAGTTCATAGTATTTCTTTTTTTTTTCAGGAAAATGGCAACTCGGATGGGTCCTCTGCGATGTTTGGATATCTTTAGATATTCTTTTATGCACAGCATCGATTCTAAGTTTATGTGCAATTTCCGTAGATCGTTATTTAGCCGTTACACAACCTCTAAACTATTCTCGACGAAGAAGATCTAAAAGTTTGGCACTTCTGATGATATTGGCAGTATGGATATTGGCACTTGCCATAACTTGTCCGCCGATATTAGGATGGTAAGTTAGTTATTCTGTATTACGCTTATAACTTTGGTTCTACTAGATAATATTTAGCTTGTCGTAGTATTATTATTAACTTCCCGTAAAGTAAGTTATTGTAATCGTCCAAAAATCGAAATTGAAAATTTTTACATTTCTCCATGTATTGAAGGTTTCTGAACATATTGGCATACTTCAGAAAAAATTGATATGTGTGTGTGTATGTATGTATGGATACAATTTTTCGTGCACGTTTTCGGCCGCCCGGATCAACCGATTTGAATGGTTCAAAAAACATTCGATTCCTATTGATAGGGAGATGTGCTGATTAGTTTTTGGCAAAGGCAGGTCTAGCTGTTTCGGAGATACGGATGGAGCAAAGAATGCAGAAAATAGAAATCCATTTTTTTTAGAAATCGGAGCATCGGATTTGAATGATCCAAAAAACATTCAATTCGTAATGACGGGAAGTAGTGATTAGTTTTTGGCAGAGGCAAGTCCAGCGGTTTCGGAGATTCAGAGCTAAATGAACTTTCTGCTTGTTTTAACAAAATAATTGCTTTTGGAAAACAAAATTTTTTGTTTCAATTTTTTTTCAAAAATTTTTTTTTTGTATATCGAAAATAATTCAGATTTTAGTTGTAATTCTGACTAAAGTTCTAATATACTTTAAACAAATATTTTCAACTTTGGAATTCAGTTTATATAATTCTTATAAATATTAGATAATGTTACAGTACTTATTTAGAATAATTTATTTGAAAACATTTAATATTTCTCGAACATTTCATTACGGTACGGGAAGTTCCAGCAATTTGCCTTAAGGCACGATGCTATACACCCAACTAGTGTTTTTTTATTCAGCACGGTTGTGATATAGATATATTTATTTCAGTTCAATTTAATTATTTTTTAATCCAACACTGTAGAAAAAATTCTGTTCCGTTTGCATTGAAATATGTTGAATTGAAAAATCAATTCTGGGGGTTTTATAAATAAGGATTCAATTTAAATAAATCATAATCCTTTTAATTTCAAAACACGCTCAAAAATATTTAACACACAACTGTGTTTTTCAACACCGAATAAATTATTTAATTTAAATAACTTATTGAAACTATAATAAACCGGAATAAAATTTTCAAAATCAAATGATATTTCGATGGTAATCTTTTATGACTAAAATTTAATAAGGATGTTTAATTTTTGAGGTATATGAATTTTTGTTAATTGTTTTATTAAAACATTTTGTAACTTTGATAAAATCAAAACAGTTAATAATAATAACAAAAATATCAATAATAACAATAGTAATAATAATAATAAAAATTATGAATAATAGAAGTAATTTAAAAAAAAATTACAATAATATAACTAAATAATAAAATTGTAATAAATAAGTAACTAAAATTGAAGAATAATAAGAATATTCAATTAAAATTTTCAAATAACTCACTAATAACACATGCCCAAAATAATGTTGAAATCATATATGATTGTTCATATAATATGAACTGTGGACAAGTTAAAGCAATATTTTTTCACAAAATAGCGTCGGTCTAGAGAAAATGTTTTTTACAAGTTTTTTTTTTGAAATTCCCGATGTTTTTAAAAATAGTGAAAATTGGAATTTGGGGATAATATAGTTTATACTGAAAAAAATATAGTTTATACAAAGAAGATCCTGTAAAAATTTTAAGTAAATCGGTGTAAAAAAAATGTACACCTATTCTAGAGTAGGTTAAACTTTGGTAAACTTGAGTAGATTCTAGTTAAACATTGAAAATATAAAAAAACCAAAATCGATTTTTTTAAATTCTAGACCAAAATAAGTTTAATAATATGCTAATTTATTAAGAACACAATACTTTATGTATAATCTCAGCTTCATCTATAAAAATAGTCGTAATACTCTTAGATAAAATATTATTCTGAATTATTTATATTTGCCTTTGTAAATAATATCAACATAAACACTCAATCTACAATTTAATGTAATTAGTTTATATGAATTTTAATCTAACAATTTAGTCTCATCTTGTTAAAATCTCAGACATATTAAAATGGAATATCTTATACAGCTTTTCTCTACTTTAGGAATATTCTCACGTGGATGAAGTCTTGTTGCAATACGTTTCAATGCTATTACACCGATTACTTACTCTATGCATAATCTACGAAGATTTACATAAGATTAACACGTGTTGGATTAAGCAGCAAAATATAGTCTCGTTTAATACATTAAATTAAAAGCACATTTATTTAATTAGATCTCATAACAACGTAACTTGTGCATCTAATCTAAGGTGACCGTCTCAGTTTTGCTGGGGCCTATCCGGAATTCTACCTTGTGATGCGGGTTTTTTTTAAAGCAAGATTTGTACCGGATTTAGATCTTTTGCCTCGGATTTTTCTAATATATAGATTTAAATTTAATATTAACAATTGCATTACAATAAAGTTACAACTACCCATCAAATATCTGAAAATGCTATATACAACCAGTATTCTTAAATGATACTAATGCAAAAATGCAAAGATCTAAAGGCGAAGTTAAAATAGCTCCGCACATAAATAATTTCGAAATTTCGTTTTCAATTTCACGAAAATTAGCAAAAATTATGAAAACGATCTTTTAGCTGCTTGCTGCTTGGCACAAGTGCTAATTTTTACTAATTGTAAGTTAATTATGAAGAAAATTGAACAATATTTTATACAAAGCATAAAAGCAAAAAAAAACATTTAACGAGTTCGCCATATAACTATTTTTTCGGTTTAATTGAGAGTTATAATCATAAACAGACATGCGTTAGATATACAGTTATAACATTATTATACAGAAAGAAATTATAGAACCAGAAAGATTGTACTTTCAAATAAAGAAAGAAATTTATGAAAATATTCAGTAGTTATTTTTGTAGTACTTACAAAAAAAACATTTTTGAAATTGAAAGACTTTCGTAAATTTTGAAGTTAAATTTTAATTAATGATTATATGTGAGTAAAACTCCATATGTTATATTTTTCAATATTGAAGTTTAATCAATTTATTAAATAAACTTACATATATAGGTAACAAGTCTGCTATTTATCGTTTTTTTTTTGTTTATTTTAAAGTTATAATCTTATATAATTATACGTTGGATATATAGTTGTTATAACCTTTTTATAAAGCTATTAGCTGGAAGAATTGACTTTTAAAAAATAAATTTGAGAAAATATTCAGTAGTTTATAGCAATTTCAAAGAAAAAGCTATTTGGCCCTATAAATCGAAAAATATAAGATATAATAATATATACCTTCCATATATATAGAATCGTATAATAGTCATACTTAATATCAGTATTTTTATAAAAGTTGATTTTTAATAAATCCATTAATAGTATTTTTAATTTTGAATCATATTTAAATAATTTTCTCCTCCCCCTCTTCGATTTTAATATAAAAAATATGATCACCTTAATCAGGGCCGGTCCTGCCTTGCATGCGATGCATGCAAAAAATGCGGGCGAACGCCTAAGAAGGCGCCAAAACGAATTTCTGAAATTAAAATTATAATATAATATTTATATTTTTTATATAAAATCTAGAATACTTAATAAATTATAATAAACAATCTAACTTAATTAGGGATACAGAGACACAAAAGGCATTTATTCACATTTATTTTGCAATGTGATATCAGTAGAAACAATTAATAACTCTGCAAATTAGTAAATAACAGCTCTCTTTATTGCTTAATCTACTTATTGAATTTTTTCTTTGTTTGAAGTTGCCGTGGAATCGAAAAATAAATTATCTGGTGTTCAATCCCATAAGCTCAAACCTGCTAATGATTAAATTAATTATAGGGCATTATTGACGAAAAATTGCGAGCTGATTTAGTTATATATAAACAAATTA